TATATTTCTTTTGTAAGGGTGGTGAACATGTGAGACTAAAAGGTATGATTGAGGGCAATGAAGAAGTAGTTCAGTGTCCCTATAAGAGGAGGCAGAGGAAGGCAATATTGTGTGTCAGTTTTACGTGTTGGGAAGATCCAAGCTGCAGGCTGAAGAAAGGTTGCAGGTTGACTGAGTCCTATACTGTAAACTTCTGTACTTTCAAGTACACCTCTCATCAGTTTTTTCTCTACTGAACACAAGGATAGAAACTCAACCTTCCAAGCAGAGTCATGTTCAATAAACACTATTCCAGGTTCAAGGAAGGTTAAACAAAAGTACTCATGCTTGAGGTGAGCATTGGATCTTTGGATGGATGGTTGCACTCAGAGTAGTGGTCAGTGGCTCAATGTCCAAACGGAGACCAGTGACAACTGGTGTTCTTCAGGGGTCTATACTGGCACCGGTGCTGTTTTAGAAACATGGGCAGTGGTATAGAGTGCACCCTCTGCAAGTTTGCTGATGACACCAAATTGTGTGGTGTGGTTGACACGCTGGAGGGAAGGGATGCCATCCAGAGGGACCTTGACAGGATTGAGAGGTGGGCCTGTGCCAACTTAATGAAGTTCAAAAAGGCCAAGTGTAAGGTCCTGCACTTGGGTTGGGGCAATTCCAATCACAGATACAGGTTGGGCAGAGAATAGATTGAGAACAGTCCCAAGGAGAAATACTTGGGGATGTTGATTCACGAGAAGCTCAACATAAGCCAGCAATGTGCACTTGCAGCCCAGAAAGCCAACCATGTCCTGTGCTGCATCAAAAGAAGCTTGGCCAGCTGGTCAAGGGGGGTGATTCTCCCCCTCTGCTCTTCTCCCTCTGTACATAGTACTCACAGTACCTGGAGTACTGTGTCCAGTTTTGAAGCCCCCAACACAAAAAGAACATGGGGCTGTTGGAGTCCAAAGGAGGGCCTCAAAGAGGGTCAGAGGGCTGGAGCACCTCTCTTACGAAGGCAGGCTGAGAGAGTTGGGGTTGTTCAGCCTGGAGAAGAGAAGGCTTCAGGGAGACCTTATAGCAGCCTTCCAGTACCTGAAGGGCCTACAGGAAAGCTGGGGAGGGACTTTTTACAAGGGCATGAAGTGATAGAACAAGAGGGAATGGCTTTAAACTGATGGGAGATAGATTTAGGTTAGGTATTAGGAAGAAATGCTTTAGTGTGAGGATGGTGAGACACTGGAACAGGCTACCTAAGGAAGCTGGGGATGCCTCCTCCCTGGAAGTATTCAAGGCCATGTTGGATGGGGCTTGTGTGTTTGTAAATTCAGATACCTCTAGACCTTTAACAGTACAGTTGTCTTTGTCACGAATGGCTTTTGCATTCTCCATGAGTATTTGCTTGTGTTTGATGAAGCTGTCAATGTTTGATTGCTTTGTGAATCATGCATTCACAAAAAAAAAAAGTGCCTTGTTTCTGTCATATTGATTTCCCTGCCAGCCTTCAGCATGAGACTGAGCAAGGCTTTCCCTGCAATTACATCTTTTTATGACTTAACTGGGAGCAGGGAGACTACCTTCTGCCTTGGTCTTTGCCTTTCCTGCTCATGGCTCAGAGTAAAGGACTTCCTTAGTATTCTGTGTAGAGGAACAGTTGAAATTCTGTTTCATCTCTTGGTTTAGGGCTCAGCTTCATTTCAGTTCTTACAATATGCGCTACTTTGGACTGAATTATCCTTGTAGTTGGCCACTCCCTTACTGCTCAAATTTATATTTAATTCCATTATTCATAGAAGTTTCTTCTGGATGTTAAAGCATCAAGTACATGAAAACCATTCTTTGAACAGACATCTCTTTAGACATCAGTCTCTGGTATTGATTCAATCAATTAATTATATAGTAAAGTTATGTTCAGTTTTGAGACTTCTGATGGCAGCTGTGTATCTTGAGCTTGGAGTCTTTCTCTGGGCTTGGCTGCTTATGAGATGTATATGAATCTGAGGCATTTTTTCAGGCTTTGAATTCCACTTAAACCTACAGGCAGTTTTAAGTTGCTTAATTTATATAACACTTACTTTTGGCATTTATATAACTTTTGACTCAGCACTTGGTTTCACTCAGAATTTTGGGTAAAGGTTGGATGGTCCTCCTGTCACAGGGTGTTCAAAAGGATTTTCAATGGTAGAGGCATTTTTCCAGTAAGTGTGTTTATTCTATATTGAAGTGGTAAACTTGCTATATATATGTTTCTCTGGCTAACAATTTTAATTTGTTACTTGATCAGTTTTGAGGGATTTGTAGGAGTTGCAGAGCTAATATTCTAGTTATAAATACCTAAATATGCTGGGTAACTTATGTGTAAGTAAGGTCTCCAGGGAGACCTTATTACAGGCTTTCAATAAAAAAGGAGGCTTATAAGAAAGATGGAGAAAGATTTTTTTTTTTTTT